ATGACTAGTTGCCTTCCCTCTAGTCTTACACTGCTAAATTAGGGACGGCTAGCGCAGATAGCCCTCGTGTAGCTTTGCGCGAAATTCAAAAACAAACAAACAAACAAGCAAGTTCAATAGGCTTCTTTCTATTTGAAGATGTTTTTTCATAAAATTCAGCATTAAAGTTCAGACGTCAGCAATAAATATTTTTAAAAGTGGTCTGTCTTAGCAGTCCTATTAATTTCAAACTTATAACCCATTATTTGGGCTTATTACATACTGAAAATACTTCAGAAGATACAAGTAGTTTAACGTAATTAGTAAGTATTTGTTGAAACAGTTAAAACAATTTATAATCTAATCACTATCAGATACCCATCCACACAAAATCAAAGAGTTTTGCCTACTTATGTCACTTCAAAATGCAACTTTCATGCTCTAGTACATCCTAGTCACTTTCGATGTTACCATGTCCAAAGGCTCTTTTACTGTTTTTAAAGGAATTACGAATTCAAATGCGTAATGTACGATTATGTTCTACACAGAAATATTTTACAATTATTTTGAGTTATCATTATGGTGCCATAGAAAACTAAGTTTAATCGCGAAACATATGGCAATATGCACCACGTGACAACTTAATGAATATTGTCAGTTCTTGTAATGAACTACAACCACCGCCGATATAGAGTGGGCATGTATCCAAACTAGTCCCTCCATGGGACAGCGGTAAGTCTTCGGACATACAACGCTAGAATCAAGGTTTCGATTCCCCTCGGTACACACAGCAGATAGTCCGATGTGGCTTTGCTATAAGAAAACATACATACTGTATTCAAACTAAATTTTGATATTTTGTGTTATTGCGTAGATAGTGTAATGCCACCGAAAAGTGATAGCAGTTGGAAAGGGTTTGTAACATTCCTTTCTGATGTAAAATATTCAAACACTCAGATCATAAAGACATGTTTAGATTGGGGATTTTGAATTTTCAAGACGGTGATATCCTTTGTACTTAATGGCATTGGAAAAAACAACAACAAAGGAATATGGATCAACTTGGGGTACTAAAATTATCAAGAAAAAGATATCCAACAAGTCATACCACAACCGTGCTAACAAAAGTGTGGCGTCTTCTAACAGATTAAACTCCGCGAACACAGAGGTCAGTGGCACTAGCCGTGTTCATATCCCTGATAACAGTATGCAACATAATAAAGAAGGATCTCCGCCTGAAAATACACAAGTATACTAACTGCTTCCTCAACGCATCTGTTCAATTGTCTCATACTGAACTCAAACAGCTAGAGAATGAAACATATATTGATACCATTCCATACGCAGTGCCTGTGAATTTCTGTGCATTTGGAGCATTGGAACTATTGTCTATGTATACTAGATAGCTCATGGAAAGCACGAAAAAACAAATGGTATGCTTTTGATATGACAGCATTACGATGGGATCGTTTACAGTGAAACTACACTTCAGGGCTATTGTCAAGATGCACGGTCGGGCGTGAGAACGAGCATGATTGACGTGGCGACATGGACTGTAACGACGTAGTGAGACCCCACAATGTTTAGATATAACGTGCTCAACCTCTGTACTTTTGTCGTAGACTTAAGAAGAGCAAGATTCTGTTACTCTACTTTTATAAAATAGTTGAGAACTCAATATTTTACTATAATTGCCAGTTACTTAAAGTTAATGGTCAAGGGTTGATTGCTTTTCATCCTATCCTTAGCTGTTCCAAGCTACAGTTGATCGTTGGTCAATAACTCATGAAGCGCTAATTAATTTAATTTCTTTAAAAAATCGTAGGGAGTTCAAATATATTTAAAGAAATATATGGTGGATGGAACGTAATTTATGAAAATATTTCATAATTATGATTTGCTTCTGTAAACACCTTAGTTTCTTTTAAGCTTTTAGAGAAAATGGAACATTACTCAAATATTACTGGTGATCTGTTATTACTTTATCTTAACACCAAAAGTTCGTGTTTCGTAATTACTGTGTTTTAGGGGTGATTTTTTTAAACCACTACATAATTCTTCCTGGAAACGTATGTCGGTTAACGTACAAATGGTGCGCTAGAACTGATTAGCAGACTTAATAATAAGTTTTTGTCACATTTTGCTGCCTGAAACGGAGCCATGCTCGTCAGTTGTGATTTTAGCTGTTTATTAATACTTCAAGAAAGCTTCAAAAGCATTTTGACTAAACAGGTTTAATGTAATATTTATATTCAACTGAATATCTTATTGATCATATTTTATAAACAGTTGATCAATTTCGTTATAGAACTTGTACTTTACTGGATCAATTAACAATGTAGCACAACAGTTTTGCTGCTTATAACTAACTATTTTACAGTCTGAAGAACTACCAATTACCATCAGCTTTTATTACTGATACAAATAAGGTTCCATAACAAAGGGAATTCTACCAATTTTGAATATTGTGTTTCACATACAACACCACTTGCACAAGTAATTTCTTCCTAATCTATTTCAAAAAGGTTAACAAAATCAAACAGAGAACGTTAATGGTTTAGTTTTGAAGCTTACAAAAGAAAAATGCTCCAAATGTAACTTATATTGATGAATCTAACATATGATTCTTTTTTTCTTTCGAAATTGAAAGAAAAACTTTTACCTTTGTTGATCAATTTATTAATATATATGGTTAATACTTACATAACATAATATTTTAATTATGAGTAGAAATCTACGTAAAACCTTAACATATTACGTATACAGTAAACATTCTAAAGCACTATGACAGCAGTTTAAGGAAACAGGCTGTATCCACGGTAGATCTTGGAGCTGATGTATTTTAAATTACTTTAAAACATGAAGATCTAATTAGTGTAGTTAATCTCAGAAAACTAAACATTATTAAACGTTTAACTGTAAAAAAAATGACGTGAAAGGTGGAATTTAGAACAGAACCATGTTATATTATTAGCTTATTTAAAGTAATTTGTAAGCATAACATTAACATAAAATTAACATTAATTAAAAGTACGGTTCTCTTTTTGTCATTTGTCACTTGTAACATTTTTTCATATTTCAAATTCTGTGCAATGCACATAAGAACGAATAAATCAAATAAAACCTTTGTAAGTTACGTAAATCATATATCTCACGAACGTGCTCAATTATCATCTCTCTCTCTTAGGAATTTTGTTTCTTTTCTGAGATTATTTTTTGTTTAGTACGTGTTCCAGTTGATATTTGAATGCGAAAATGCATTTTTATTGTCAGTTTCAAGATTATCTGCTTGTTTTGTTTATATTCATTTCCATTTGAAACATTTTTTTTCTAGGATCTTAGTTTTTCTTGACATGCACTACTTACTTCAGATTGGCATGTTTTGTTAGTTAAACACAATTGAATTTATTAAGTTTTCCAAGAACTGCAAAAAAAAAGTAAATATAAGTGTAATGACATTAACATTGTTTCGTTTGATATTTTATTAAAAAGAATTTCTCACTAACCAATAATTTAGAAACTGCATATTTTTGACTTCCAAGTGATGGAACAGATTTAACTGTACAGCATTCCGAAACTTAGACACAATCTACTAACATCCCATTTGCAAATCAGGAAGACATGTTTGGTGGGTTGATTCGGAAAGAAAGCTTTTCGGTACGTTCTCTCTTTTTTATTTTTTTACATTCTGAATAGAGATTTGAGCTCCTTGCGATATTTGGAATCTGAATTGCCCACCAGTGTAGCCGAATTCGTAATAGTCTCTAGGATATAAGTATAATCTATACCTCCATACAAAAACACGGTAGGGGTCGTACGTGTTAAACAATACAAGATATGGTTCCTCAGCTCTATAAAGCTGTTTTATCCGCGGGTTTGGTGATTTCTGCCGATAGAGATGGCCGAGGAAGATTTAGTGACGCTTACTTGCCGCTAAGTGCGGTACCTGCCTGATCATGAACACTTCTACTTCTATTTTGTGCAAGAAGATCACTGTCTGGCAAAACCTAAAACTCCGCATCTTCGTGACTGAACACTGTTTAGACGTGAGTTTTTTCAGAAATAAAATTTAGTTGTTGAGGTTAACAGATCGAGCTCTTTATCTGAGTGTATTTCCTTGGTTCTAACTTTGATACCGGAACTGTGACACCCTCCATAGCCCTCCCAATCCCCCTAATTCGGTGGCATTGACTCGCAGACTGGGTGTTAAAACAATAGCGGTTAAGTTTCTGTTTAATTTTAATTTAGTTTTGGCCCTTTTTTGGTTACACGCAGTGCTTTTATGTAAGATAAAAAAAAATAGGTAAGAGCTACTGTTTTTGTTACAGGTAACCCAGGTATTGAACTAAAAACTGTCAGAGATCCAGATGTCGTCGTTCGTAAGTTGTATTTCTAATCTTTTTCTGAGTAAATATACATCCATATGTATACGTTTTATGTACAGTACAGTTATCAATTTATAACTTTCTACCTATGATTGAAATAGACAACCAATTGTTTAAAGAAATCGTTATTAGATGTTTCAGAAAGATACTTTTAGAGTTACACTAAAATGTACGTTTTTTTTTTATTTACGAAACTAACTGAGTTTCTAAATAAAGGTTTTAATACAGCTAGACATATCAGTAAATCATTTCTAGGTGGGTTAGGCCGTCACTAAATGGTCGGAAACTACCTAATTTTGTACAAACCGTTACATTATGATATTTTATATTTATGGTGAATCAACTTCAGAAGTAACAAGCTATTAAATATTAAACGTATCTATAAATAAACTAACTTAAGGATATTAAATTAGCCACATCTTTACCTTATTATTATTTTTCTCGTGGCTACACGATATACTGAGAATCTTAAAACTTAATGTAGGCATTGTATAAAATAGTAGACTGTCCTCGAAAAGCAGAGGAAACAATTATATCTTCATAATTATAAGAAGGTACGTTTTTATATTTATTTCATTTCAGTTTCTCAAATGAGTTGGTGGGCCAGCAGAGGGTTACGCCCTTTCTTCGGCCAAGTGAATGAACTTTTAAAAGGAGGAAAATATGTAAAAAGTGTGGTTAAGAGATGAATCACAGAAACTTGACAGTGACTCATAGATAATATCATATTTAGAATATGAAAATATGTCATACAATACCAGGGAGGGATGATATAACCATTTTAAATATAATGTTATATCATTGCGTTGGATAATATAAAAAAATTCAAATTAATCATTGGTGGGGCACCATTATCAGAGTAAGTTACAGGAAGAGACATCAAGTACATATTTAGGAAGTGATCAAGTTAAAGAAGTAGTTTCTTTAGAGGATGAACCTACTTGCTGCTCAATTAATCAATAATGACATTTGGGTGTTAAAACCTTGAGTTACATATAGTATACAAAGCTGAAAAAGATGTTTGATAAGTGGGAAGGTGATACGATCATAAAGTTTACTAGTAGACCTAGGTAGCTTGATTGAAAGACTTAAGGAATAGTATAATAGTAGACCTAGGGAGCTTGATTGAAAGACTTAAGGAATAGTATAATAGTAGACCTAGGTAGCTTGATTAAAAGATTTAAGGAATAGTATAATAGTAGACCTAGGTAGCTTGATTGAAAGACTTAAGGAATAGTATAATAGCAGATCTAGGTAGCTTGATTGAAAGGCTTAAGGAATAGTATAATAGTAGACCTAGGTAGCTTAATTGAAAGACTTAAGGAATAGTATAATAGTAGACCTAGGTAGCTTAATTAAAAGACTTAAGGAATAGTATAGTAGTAGACCTAGAGAGCTTGATTGAAAGACTTAAGGAATAGTATAACGCTCCAGGTTCTGTTGAAGATCATAAAAGGAAGAAGAGGTTGAAATCCAGGAAGTGTAACCATAGGTGAGACAAGGGCAGATGACAGTTTGGGACGAATAAAGTGAAATAGGTAGATTTATCTCTTAGGTTGATCCTGATCAGCTTTATAGAATGTGAAGGCTCTGTGAAACCTTGTAATAAAGTATAGATAAATTAGCTTTCCAGTTCAAGTGCCTATCAGAGGTAACGCCAAGGTATTTAACAGCAGAAGAAAAATGCACGGAAATGTGATTGATATTATCATTAAAAATGTTGAGGTTAAGCATGGTCGAATTTTCTCTAGAATGAGACGAAATAGCATCGCTTTAGTCTTGGTGGCATTGATGATTAGACATCACTGACGGCATCAGGTAAGAAATTAATTGATGTCGTGCTGTAGAGACTTGTTTTTAGTGATCATCGTTGGGCAGGACAAAACAAAGCCGATTTACATTAATATTTAACGGTCGCGGAATAGCTGCCACATACATTATGGAAGCAAGTGATGGGAGTATCGATTTTTGTTGAATTCCCGCTAATTTATTAAATAGGCTACAAAGAATGTTTTTCAGAACAAACACCTCATCGTGAAGGGACTTTATTAGTAGAGTTACTTTGATTTTAACCTAAACAACAGATACAATCATGTTTAATAATATTTCTTCGCTAATTGTTTTGCATGCTTTCACACACAAATGGTTTTAACATTTATTATTTCCACACGATTTTAATTTCAATTGTTTTGATTGTTTGATTTTTTTGTAAGATACTCCTATTTTATTTTCTCATTGTAGCTCCTCCAGTGTTGAACGTTCTAGTTGGTGGCCGTGCTCAACTTCCTTGCAATATTACGCCACCTACCAGTGAAGATTCCGTGTCACTAATACTGTGGTATCGATCAGACATCAACACCCCCATATTTACGGTGGATTGCAGAAACGGGCCGTTGGAAAATGCGCAGCATTTCTCATCAGATTTTCTTGGTAAAAGAGCTCATTTCGACCTACGTACAAAGCCAGCACTAATGACAATAGAGCCAATCGAAGCTGATGATGCAGGGCGGTACCGTTGTAGAGTGGACTATCGTTGGGGAAGGACACTCAACAACAACATGATATTACATGTCGTGGGTAGGTGGGCCGTTGGAAACATAGGAAAACTGTAATGATTTCCGTTCAGAACTTTGAACTGATGTTAAGTGTGAATTTTGTTACACAAACATTTTATAGGTGACAGTTATGTCCTGTAAATTTTATATAGGCGATTCCTCAGCTCAACAACTCAGAACAAAGCAAATTTTTACTGGTAATTGTTACTGATAACCTAATGCATAGTTATAAATAATAAGAAAACAAACAGTTTGACGATAGTCATGCTGCAACCAAAAATATTACTGTTTGAGTATTGTTTTTGCGATTATTAATTATGTATGCGCTTTTATATCCTATACTATTAATGGTATTTCAATTAACTTGAATGTAGAAGGTAAACAACTTTGCTTAATATGGATAAAATTGCATTGAAAGAGATAAAAATCTACAGTTTATCTTAAACAGTTCCTCCAAAGGATGTAGTAATCTTGGACGAAATGCATCAGCCGCTTTACAGGTTAATAGGACCTTATGACGAGGATTCGACATTACGGCTCAAATGTATAGCTAAGGGTGGTAAGTCTAAATGAATGTAATTTGTGAATTTCGTTATTAGTGGTTTATATCTTATGTCATAAATCAATTGCAATGTAAACGAAAAGCAAATTTAAAATCATGTATATAAATCGGTAATAAGTGACACAATTCCAACTCTTTCACCACGATTTCGATGTGTACTTTAAAAGCCACGGTCTTTCAGAATAAAAAGAAAAACGTTAGCCTTATCCACAAATAGATATGTTAGAGTCTTGCTTTGGATAATATGTTCTCAGCAAGAAAATTTTAAAAACGATTTAAAAACGCAGACATTGCAATACACATTATGGAAAAGTAGTCGATATTGAATAAAATGTTGAAATTGTTCCACTGCTTTCTTGCTTCTAAAAAAAAACTGGGACATCTAAACTATGTAAGTTATTAAGGCTTTTTCATTAGACATTAAAGGAATTCCGTTTACTTTATTAATTTAGTAAATTTCCTTCAGTCTTTTGCCTTTGAACATATGTCTGAACTTTCAAGAAGGCTGCTCCTTATATGACAGTATTGTAAGCCTTATGGACTAATTTGTCTTTAAGACCTAATATATTAGGTTGTGGAATTATTAGAAAGTGTTATTTTAATATTATACAGAACCAACTCTCAACGTGTGAAAAATATAGTAGATATTGAATAGTGAAACATTTTGTTTAATAATAAAAGTAGCTAGAAAACTTATAAATGTACCTTATAAAAATTAGAGAATTTTATGTAGTTATTTATATTTTGCAGGAGGATATAGCGCCATTATATATATGATTAATAAGTAATATTGGATGAAATGTAGTTATACGATATTCATTGCCTTAGAGTAATTATATTTGCAGTATTTGTATTTTTTTCAGATTACAAAAAACGTGGTGAAAAAAAAAACGCTAAATAAAACTTCTTTAACTGACTTTTAGCTTTCTTCGTTTTTTCAGCTTAACCAGTTCTTCTTATTGAAAGGCTTAGCGATTAGTCTGTGCATATATGGGCTTAATAATATACAAACATAATGAAAAGTTGTCTTCATGTTTCTTGCCCATATGTTGTTGTGGAAGTGTGTCCGTGTTCAAAAGTAAGCAGTCAAGTTTATTTGGTGTAACACAGGTTACTATGCTGTGTTGCTTATTAAGTATGCAAGTGCGCTACGTATTATAAGATTTAAGAAGGTCTATAAAAAACTTATATATTAACCAGCAATTGTTATGTAATATATATTATTCCTTTTACAATTATACTCATAGCTTATATAAATAAGTAGAAGCTAGTTTTATTTTAGTACATTTTATTTATTTAATGTTGACTAAAGAAATAGGCCAGATTTCTCCTGGTGGTAAGGAATCCGATCCTTGTATCGGAAAGTCTCGAGTACGATGAGTTTTCTTTTTTTTTTGCATCTGTTTGTGTTTTGTTTGTTTCATCGCAAAACCAGACAATGAGCTCTCTACGCTCTGTACACCGTGGGGAATCGAACTTATCGAAATTATTTTGAGGGATGACATGCATAATTAATATTAAAACATCAAACGTTGTATAAAACATATAATATGGCTGGTCTTTTAGATTTATGTTTCAATAGTTTTTTTTATTTCTGCCACAGTAATTACCAATAATGATAAGAATTTGTAGGATTGTAGCATGCACAGAAAGTAAAAACAATCTTGAAATGTGTCTGCTAAACGGTTTTGTATTTTTATTGTTTATTAATTCTATTGAGATATAGAAAGATGAAAAACAACAAGAAGCAGTATTGAATTTATTAATGAAGAATTAACTCTAACAGTAGACTTCCCTGTTCTTGAAAAGTACTAACATTACCCGTAGGAATCTAAAGGTTGATGTGTAATGCTCACATTTCGTTTCCAACGTATGTTTTGTGAAGTTTTTATTTTTTTTAAATAATCTGAAAGAAACACATTAACTATTAATAACTTGCAAGTATACGGTACTTAAAATATTCAGTTTATGGGAATAGAGTTTTCCGTACACTATTTCCGGTGGTTATACAGAAAAGAAAAACAAATAAATATATATGTATAATGGCTGGAGACGGCTTGAATGGGTAATGAAGAAAAACTTTAATATAAGTTTAACATAACAGCAAATGTACAACGTTTCGACAAGGTTTTGTCATCATCAGGTACTTATATTAAAGTTTTTCTTCATTACCCGTTCAAGCCGTCTCCAGCCATTATTAGTCTCAAAGTGGGTTCCTCGTCATAGAATTTGAAATATATATGTATATACTTGCGAAAAAAACAACAAGTTTCTTTAGACAGTTATATTTTCTAAACTTTTTTGTAACTTTTCCATGTCATGCTTCTTTTTTTTGTTTTGGATTAAAATTCCAATCTTTACAAAAACTAACTGAAAAAGAGCATTTATAAATATTAATATTTATGTCCAAACACCAGTTTTTTTTTAAAAATTGCTTTTTCATTTAACATAAATTAAAAATATATATAATATTTTGGATTAGAAAATGTCTTATAATAATGATGATAATATTCAACCCTGGACATCATCGCCCTAACAACATATGTATTTATATTAAACCGTTAACATTTATTTTTTTTTGCAATAAATATGTTTTCAAGAAAAGAATATCTGATTTTGTTTATGATTCATTAAGTTTCTTTTATGTATTCATTTTTGAAAAGAACAACTACGTTTCTTATCAGCGATATGTTTTAAACATGTATGTCTTTGTTTTTACTTTGTAAGTTTTCCAGTCACGTTATTCTTGGTTTATTCTTTCGCTTTACAATTAACAATACAGTAATATTTACTTTAATCTTATTTAAGGTAAATTGATTAATTTTTAAACAGTCTTCATTTTGTCATTGTTCTCATCCAGAGGTTCTTGTTTTTTATGTCGATGAAACAATATGTTTGTGTGTTTTTAGTAGTGATAGAACACAATAAATGTTGTGGAGATGATAACATTAATACGATAAATATTATCAAATTGATGATTTTGTCTTTAAAATTAATAGTAAAAACGTAGATACATGTGTAAAACTAACATTATTTGAAACTAGGGTTTTTAAATCAGCATTTCTTGTTTCTTTTATAATCTTTCATTTGATATTAGTGCATTAATATTAACTGTTGCTCAGACAAAGCTGCCTACTAGGATAAAAACTAAAACTAAAAAAATGAATTCGGTAATTAATTAAATATACTTAAGTATACTTTTTTTAAGAAACAAAGATTTTGGACATTTAGTACGTATTTTGTTAAAGCTTTTGTACTCCCTAACCAGAATAGCAGTGAAGAAAACTTCGGTTGAGAAGTCGAAAGCTTTAAAAAATACGTAATGAATGCCCAACATCTCCCCCCCCCCCCTCGCAGCGGCATGTCTGCGGATATACAAAGCTAGAAATTGGTTTTCGATACCCGGGGTGGGCAGAGCACAGAAAGCCCATTGTGTAGCTTTGTGCTTAACTACAAACAGCCAAACAAACCCAATATCTTTGCTTATTAAACAAATGTTTCTTACTTTTTTAATTATAGACATAAGAACGTATTGTTTTGTCAATTGAACACTTGCTGTTAAAAATGTTTTC